TAAAAGCTATAGACTTAGTACCTTATTAAATAAAAAAAATACTTTAGTCCTATATAACACTTAAATAAATATAAATACTATAGAGGCTAATAACTTAATTAAAGAATTTAAAAAAGCCTATTAATAATAAGTAAATTAATTATAAGCACTTTAAAGGGGAAGAAATTAGGTAATAAAATAATATAACTAACTAGCACTAAGAGAAATTATTAGATAAAAGAAAAATTCCTAAAGTATAAATAGGATAATTCCTTATAAAAGGCTAGATAATTCTTTAAAAAACAGCTAGAAAAAAGCTAATAACTATTAAGATAATAATTTATAAAAAACAGGAAGACTAATAAAGTATACCTAGTAAATTAAATATAAAAAGGCAGGTAGTAAACTATAAAATCCTAGTAAATAGCTATACTATTTATAATAAATATTAAAATTATATAACTAATAATAAATAAATCTAGACTTTACTTATTAATAAGAAAAGAATAACTAGTTACCTAAGGTAACTATTATATAGTTATTTTTCCTCTTATATAAATTCTTTTTCTTTTACTATTCTTCTTATTTATATTATTTTTATCTTATAAATTCTTTTTTTATTTTTAGTTAAGTATTTATATATTTACTATTAACTAGCTAGCTAATTTATATATAATAGTATAAAAACCCTAGTTATTCTCTCCTTATTTCTATTTCTTTTTTTTTTCTTTACTATAAGATTTTATACTATCCTTAACTTTATAAATATTAATTTATTTAATAATTATAAGCACTAAAAGTACTTTTATAAAGTATTTAGTAGTAAAAGAACTAGCACTAGCCTTATATTTTATAGCTACTTTTAAGCTATTACTATTTATAGTAGTATAAAATATCTAAAGAACTTTATTTATATAGGTATTTACTAAAAATCTACTACCCTTAAGAAGAAATAGCTATATTTTATTAAATAATTCTAAAATAAAGCTAAGCGTATTAGCATCTTAAGCTTTACTAAAAACCTTTTAAACTTTATTATTTTTACTAACGTTAATAAATTCTTTTTTAATAAAGATATTAAGGTTACTTAAGAGATTTTTACTATAAACTCTTAGCCTAATTACCTAAAATCCTTAAATACCTACTTATACTAAGAGAACTAGGCTATATACTAAGATAAGTAGACTTCTTATAAAATTATTAAAGATATTAAAGTAGAAGTAAGTAATAATAAGGATAATAAAATAATTACTAAAAAAACACCTAAATAAACTACTAATATATTTACTTAACGTAACTCTTTAGGCTAATTTACTACGCCTTAAAAGCGTTAAAATAATTAAAATACCCTTACTAATAAGCTTATAAAGCTTACGTAAAAGATTACTATCCTTAAGTAAGCCTAGATAGTAGCTAATTTACTTACTATTTAAAGATAATAAAGTTAATAAGTAGCTAATATACTTATAATTACTAGAAGATTAGCTAATACTCTTATTATAATTAACTAAGAAAATAATTTATATCCTCTTAATATTAATAAGGCCCTTAATATAATATATAGATTTTACTAGGCTATTAAAGAGGTTAAGTTAGGATAATTTACTATTAAAATTATAGTTAATACTATAAAATACCTAGCTAATTTTATACTTAATACTATAAAGGAACTTAACTAATATATTTAAACTTTTTATTAATCTTTAGCTAATAAAATATAAACTATAGAAAAATAAGCTACCTAAATACTTACTAAAGTTAAGAATAATATTTTACTATTTATTTATATATTAAACTATAAACTTAAGTAATAATTATTTACTATATTACTTAATAAAGCTAATAATTAGCTAGTAAATAAGTAGCTTATAACTAGTACTTAGTTTAGCTTTCTGCTTTTTTATAAAGTAGTAGTTAATAACCTAGCTAAGTATACTAAATACCTTAAGGCTATATACCTTAAATATAGTATAGGTACTAATAACTACTACTTAGTTTTCTTTAATAAATACTTTATAGTCTTCTTAGAGATAGTAGCTAAAGGCCTAGTTATTTAAATTAATAATAACCTAGCTAAAGACTAGGTTTAAAAAAAGCTAACTCTTAAGGTATTATTCTAGCTTTTAAATTACTATTACCTAGTTAGTAAAATATAGTATATTAATAGCGTATAAGGCTAGCTACTATAGTATTTAATAGCTAGTAACTTCCTTTATAGACGCTTATTAAATAAGACTACTAATAAGGGCAGCTAGGCTAACCTTATTACTTATATAGGCACTAGCCTATACTATACTAAGCGCTATAGTCAGGAGTATATCTAGTTCCTAAATAACACTATATGCTAAAACATTTATAATAAGAATAAGAAATAGCTTTTAAAGCTGTTTATAACTCCTATAGACTTTAACGCTATTATAAGTATAAAAGGTACTTAATTACTAAATAATAATATAATTAAGTAAAAAGTAAATAATAAACTCTTCTATATATAATATATATTAAAGAATTATTTAGGTAATAATATAGTTATATATATAGTAAATTAAAAGAATAAATAATAATAGCTTAGTATAAAAAAGTTAGTTATTAAATATCTATTATATACTACTATTTTATATTTATTACTTATAGATTATTATATATTTTAAGATAAAAAGTAATTTATATATAGGTAATTATTATATAATAAAATATTTATTCTTTAGCTAATTTACTATTATTTAGTTAGGCTAATAGCTATAGATTATACTTACTATTTACTAACTAAAGGGTAAATAATTAGCTAATAATTCCTTACTAAAGGGCTAATAATTATTTAGGAATTACTAGATAATTACCCTGCTATTATTAGAGAATTATTATGCTAATAAAATATTTATTCTTTAGCTAATTTACTATTATTTAGTTAAATAGTCCTCTACTTTAGATATACTTACTATTTACTAACTAAAGGGTAAATAATTAGCTAATAATTCCTTACTAAAGGGCTAATAATTATTTAGGAATTACTAGATAATTACCCTGCTATTATTAGAGAATTATTATGCTAATTAGTAAAGTATTAGCTAAGGATATTCCCTATGTATTTTAAGGAAAATAGTCCTCTACTTTAGATAGAGGAAGGTATTAAATTTTATATCTTATTTTCTAGCACCTAAAGTGTAATAATATTAGTATACTAGCTAATATCTCTAGCTAATTAATATTATAATAAATAATAATTAATATTATAATAGATAAACTAGTTTATATTAATATTTACTTCTTTTACTTACTACTATATACTATAGTTAAGCCTATAATTATTAATATAGGCTAGCTATATAACGTAACTATTATTAGTTAAATTATTATAAATCTAGAAGTAATACTCTATTAATTATAACTTATAATAAATAAGAATAAGGCACTAGAAGACAAAAGTAGATTAATAATTACTACACTATAATTATAGCTTATATTACCTACCTTATAACACACCCCCTTAGATCTGTTACTATACGTTATAGCTAGTCTAATACTCTCTAAACCTTCTGATTAGGTATATCCTGCTAAAATCTAGGGGGTAAATCTCCTGTAGTCTGTCTAGAGGACTTTGACAGGAATCGAACCCGTAGGCAACATTGTCTTGTGATGCCTTACAGCACGCTTAAACCATTCAGGCACAGAGTCAGGGTTAAGTAGAGCTGGGCTCATAACTGTGACGAATGAGAATGAGGCACTAGAAGACAAAAGTGGATCTATAATTGCTGTGCTGTAATTGTGGCTTATATCACCTTGTGACATAACTATATATTATTATTTTCTAATTCTCAATACTATAATAAGGCATTGGTCGACAGGCACAAGAGTACTGCAAGCACAGTCAATACTCTCCATGTCTGCGTAATGCATCATTTTTCTCTTGTGCATGACATCAATATAATTTCAGCTTTGCCATGTACTCCCTAGCAGCGTTGTATGCACTCTTGCTAGGTTGACAAGTTGTGGAAGCGCGTCTAATCTTCTTTTTGCTTCCTTGGTTTGATGTCTATTTGAGAGTTAGCGTACGCCTTTTACCGACCTCACAAGGGTTTTGATTACGTACTGTACTCGTTTCTCCCGAGCAGGGCTTGAATTTTGACCACGGTTCCTTATTCCATGCTTCATGGTCTGCAGGAAAGCCAGCAAGGCCATACTGTGCGCCGCCAGGCCGGAATCCGCTGTATTTTCTTGCATTGTAATCCGGATTCTTGATCTGCCATAGCCAACTATAGGTCCTAAGGCTGTGTCCATCGACCTTATACCAGGCGACGATCTGGTCCCACTTGACACCTCCTAAGGCTGAAAACTCATCTTCCTCTTCGTAAAGGTTGTATTCGCGTAGTGTCTTTGCGACGTCAATCATGTTGGGAGTCGATTTGATTTTGTAGACGTATGTCGTTTTTTGGTCCCGCGAATAGAACGCGTGCCCAAGCGCCAGAAAAAATGACTTGGTCAATGAAACGTAACCGTCATTGTCCGCAGTTGAACCGAGCCCTATACTGTTTCCGTTTTCATCTACCTCCTGGGGGACGTCGACATGGCTGAAAAGACTGATGTCAGGGGCCACCACTCCGACAGTAGTGAGGCCTTTTGGCAGGAAGCCGCCAGCTGCCTTAATCTCTTGAGGAGACCTACCAGCACCACGATAGACAAACTTAGGACCAGTCCGTCTAAAAGGTGCACACTCTCCCGACGAGAACCAAAAAGAGGCTAGGTAAAAGAAGAGGAGTAACTTTTGTAGGTAAGCCATTTTCGATAAATAAGATGATTAGGAAGTTTGATGAACCGCAGCGTCTGTAAAAGTGCATGTCAAAGTAGTTTTCCTCTAGAATCCAAGTCTAACCCGATTCCGGGTAGAAATATAGAAATGAAGTAGGTTTGCCCGGGTTACATAACCACAGGCACAACAATAAATATCTAATATAAGCCACACCAAGCTACTCAGCTTCACGACAGGAAGCAAAAGTGGGACGCACCTAATGAATATTGCAGGGCAGCTTCATCTTTGGGCTATTAATATGCAGGAGAGCAACTACAGTTTGTAGGGTCGGCATAGAAAAAAGGAAATTAGAGGATATAGTACACTTTGTATTATAGGCTGTAGTCGGAGTAGCCGCTTGCATTCTGACAGATTTAGGTGGGGGATGTAACACTATAGTTTAGCGAAAGTCAATAGATATAAATAACTACGCAGTCTGTATTCATCTAATATACGTTTGAAGATTATAATCAAAGAATTCAGCAAAACAGCACACGCCCTGTGGTTAGAAAATGTCTAATATTATTTTTAACTCCTGGTCTTTTTCATATCAAGGCGTGATAACACAGTGCTAATAAGTTAAGGAGGACGCGGTAATGCCGTAATTGTTGGTAAACGTGGGTTTCTCTGCATGTTCTCTACTATTATATGTAGTCTTTGCTTCATATAAAAAGCTATAGTGGCTAGAGTGGTGAATGGAAACTCTACTTAGTATCCTCTATTCTAAGCACCGCGCAGTCATTAACTAGTCTTTGTAGATACGTAGTAACCTTTAACTCACTGTTACTAAACCATACATTATCCTACGCTATGTTACATTTCCAGTTACCTGATAGGTAGGTATCTTGATTTGATAAGGGGGTAGTGCCTTATTCTAGAGTGCATCCTATTATATAAGCCAACTAATCCGAAGTATACAAGCAACACTATAATAGGTAATTTTATAGAACATATTAGGTATCGAAACAATTAAATACTAATGGATGTGTATAGAAAAAAGGTATGAATAAAGTATTTTCATCTATAAGAACATTTAATTAATATATATCTTCTAGTAACTAAAACATTCCAGGGGAAGGGTTTAACTCTATACCTAATCTATATAGTCCTATTTCCCTTTAATTCCTGAAGAAGAAGACTAATAAGACAAGGTGAGCAGGGTTATCACCATTATTTGTGACGCAAACGTAGAATGGCGTATCGCCTGTTCCAATAGCAAAGCTCCCAGACCCACAACCTGTAGATCCAGACCCCTGAAATATAAACGGCCCATCGCTTGAATCTAGTCCAACAGTAAACTGGCTTACAGGTGAATCCTTACCAGAAAACAGCTAGTTTAACCACCTTTAATATTAGATTAATCCAACGTCAGAACCGTTGTAGGAGTTGTAGTAGGTAAAGAAGGAGGTAGAGGAGGCACTGTTAAGCTGGGTGTAATAGTAGAGGTGGGCTAGGGAGAAACAGATGACGTATTATTATTTAGAGGGCCGTCACTAAATATAAGATTAGAAAAAAGCGGTGCAGAAGCAGGGTTATTTGTATTAATAGACTTGTTAGTAAAACTTGTTATTTCACTAAAGGTTTTTAGTATAGAGGAGCAGGTAGGAGCTACTAAGCTTAAGAAGCTTAAAGAACTAGACCTTATTAACTAGGTTAAAATTATAAAACTTAGTACTTATATTAGTATTATAGTAACTATTAGCTTAACTAATAGCTTATTAGGATCTCCTGAATTATTAAAGGTTAAGCTAATAATAGTTATTATTAAATTATAAGGTGTTATAACCTAATAAGTTATAGGCTATATTACCTTACTTAATAAATAAAAAGTAAGTAGTAGTAATATTTATATAAATAAGAAATAAAAAACAAATAAATAACTTCTTAAAATAAAAGAACTATAGTATACGTTATATAAAAATAAAGAAGTAATTATAAGATAAAGTAATTACTAGTAATTATAAAAGTAAGTACTTACTAGTATTTACTAAGTGCTTACCTTATATAAGAATAGTAATTACTTATAAGTATTAGTTAAGAGAACTATTTAGGGAATAGCTAGGACTTATACATAGGATAGACTTAGACGTACTTAAGAATAGACTTTAATAGCTCTTTAGTAATTAACTTATAATATATTTTCTAAATACCTTTTAGTATCTAACTATTAGTTATTACTAAGGTAGTAATATAGTTAACTATATGTATTAATAAGTAATAATAAATAATAAAGGTAAATACTAGTTCTAAATTATATATATATAGAGAAAAACTATTATAGGATTATATAGTAAATTTAGTACGTAATATACCTATAAGTCTAGTAGATCTATAAGGAAATTACTATAAAACCCCTAAGGGATTTTATAGTATATTAGCTATAGTTATTCTAGCTATTATTAGCGTTAATCTATACTACTAATATCTAGGTAATAGTTAATATTATAACACTAGTAACCTTCTAAAGTGCTATAAATTATTTTTATTCTCTAGTTATTTATAAAAGGCCTAAAAACGTAATAAAAACAGAAGGCTAAGAAGTATTTAATACTTTTTATACTTCTAACTTATTATATATATAAAACCTATCTATTTATCTATATCTTTAATTAACTATTATTAATTAACTACTTTAGCGCTTTATTTAGTAATAACTTTATAAATTTATCAACTAGGTTATTTTCTCTTTATGTTTATTAGATTTTATAAATCCTATATTACTTATATAACTAGTAAAGCGCTATAATATTAATTATAAGTTACTTCTTTTTAGTAGTACTAAGCTTTATAAGGCACTTATAAAGAAAGTATATATTAGTATAAAGGATTATTAGGATTTATAGTAACTTAAGGTAGTTAGTAATTATTATAAGTAATATATATAATAAGTAAGCGCGCTAGATAAGTAAGCGCGCTACCTAATTATAGCTACCTTATAAATATAACTAAGAAGTAACTAGAAAATAATAAAATTAATATAAACTACTTAGAATCCTATTCTTTAGATATTTCTTTATTAAACTAGTACGTTTATATATTATATTTAGTGTTCTTATAGGTGCTATACTACTATTTACTTATTTTTATTCTTAATCTATAACTACTACTTTAATACGTTTCCTCCTTAATCTAGGTTATTACCTCTCTCTATAACTAAATATCCTATATATTAGCTACACTAAGACTCCTTTTTTACCTTAAATAAGTTTTTTTTACCTTTTTATATTAGTTAAGTAGGTTATTCTCTTTATAAAGGGTTTTAACTTTAGCCTTTAATAAAATATCTTTATATATAATTCCTAATGCTTTTTTAAGAATATACTTAGTAGCTATTAATTTATATATTAAGAAGTTATCTAGATAATTAATAAAGTAATTCTTAATAAGAGTTTCCTAAGAAGATATCTCTATTATATTATATAGTGTTTAAGTTTAAGCTAGTAGTGTTATTAGAAGGGATCCTAGAGGTATTAAAGTATATAACTTAATATCTAGCTTTAATAGTACACTTTCTAGACTTAAAGGGATAAGACTTACCCCTCTAAAGCCTCCTTAAATATTTACTTTTATAAGAGCTTACTTAAAGGCGTTATAAAATACTAAAAAAAGGTTATTATTTATAATATAGGTATTACCTTATTATATCTTATCCTTAATTTCTTAACTATATACTAGCTTTAAAGGCCTAAAACACTTAATATCTAAAGGCTAAAGTAAATAAAATAAATAAGGTAGTATATAAAGGATAATAATATTATTTTCTTTATAATATAGCTTAAAGTCTATAGAATAGTAACTTTTATACTTATTAATAATAAAAAAGTAATATTTTCTTTTATATATAACTTTAAATATTAATTAAAGTACTAAAGCTAATTTAGGCCTTTTTTATTTATTATCTATTTATTTTTAAACGTTATAATAACCTAGTTAGGTAGAAGACTAGATTCTATAAACTAAGTAAAAAGAAGATTTTTACTTCTAATAATAATATATAGTAAGACGCTATAACTAAATAAACTAATAGCCTAAATAACTATAACTTATTCTTAATTTCTAGGCTACACTATTTTTATATTTAAACGTCTTTTAGAGCTTATAATAACTATTCTAGATATAATCTAGCCTATTATAAAGCTAGTCTTATTAAAGTTATAGATATTAGACTTTATAATACTATATTTTATAATTATATTTACTATAAGGTAAAACTATATATTTATTACGTCTAGATCTTTATATTAAGCCCTCTTATAGTTATACTTATAAAAAAACGTATTTAGAGCTCTAGTGTTTATTTAATAAAGTTTAAGGCCTAGCGCTTACTAACTAGAGGCACGTTATAGTTAGTAAGTAGTTAATTAGCTATTTTTTTAACACTACTAAGGTAGAGAGGAAATAATTAGGAATCTAGGTTAAGAATAAACTTAACTAGCTTCCTCTCTTTAAGTTTTATTAAATTCTATAAGTTAGATATAATATTATGTTATAATAGTGTACCCTTTAATTAACGCGTTACTAAATTATAACTAACGTTATATATCTTTACTTTAGCTTAAATACTAAGTTTTAGATCTTTTTTATACGCTTAGACAGCTAGCTATACCTAGGCTTTATTATAAGTTAATTTTATTATTATTAGTAGAGGAATAAAAGGGAAAGGTTAGATAGTTAGATAGTTATAGTTTAGTGGCGCGCTTACTTATGTGGCGCGCTTACTTATTATATACGTTACCTAAAAACTACTAGATATAATAGAGATTACTACTAAGTAGATAAAGTAAAGTGTATATAGTGCTTTATAAAGCCTAGTTATAAAAAGTAACTATTATATAAAGGAAATACTATATAAGCCTTTATTAAGGTAGGTAAATTACTATATTTATTTTTATTTTTATACCTCTAGCTATATAAATTATTAAGTAAAATAGTAGCCTCTAATTAGCTAAAAAATAACTATTTAACTACCCTCTTACTTTATTATTATCTAA